GTGGCCCCCCGCGCGCGCACCAGCGGCCATAGCGTCAAAAATCGACTTTTTTTATGGTTTCTTTCAGTTTTTCCCCAGAAGGGATTGATGTTTTGCATCCTAAATTGATTCACGATTTGTAGGAATTAATGCAACAAGAGGTGCCTTTTTTGGATGAATATTCTATTTTCTAGAATTTTTGCCATTTTTCGCCTTTGAAAAATCTAAAAAATGAAAAGAGATGTCAAAAAATTCTGAAATTTTGCAGATGCCATCCTTACATTTTTCTAAGCGTGCCTGCAAAAAAGCGCATCAAAATACCAAGTATAACGTGTTTTTTGGGGGTGATACCTCCTCGCGAAAAGCATGTTTCCTCCTGCCGGAAGAGAAAAACCTCAGAAAGCTCTTTAGGGGGGGGGCCCCCCCCCCCCCCCCCCCTAACACTGTAACAGAATTGATGATTTGAGTTTGAGTATATGAAACAAGCGGGCTTAAATATATTTGTCGGACTTGTTTGGTAAAGGAGAACCCAAGTTCAATGTTTTCTCTAACAAAAATTTAAGGATTAATTACAAAACTCCCCCTGAACTACATCCCCTGTAACAATTTGTCCCCCAATTTTTGAAACGTAACATTCATCTCCCTAAATAATAAAATGTTAATAAAAAGACTCCATACGCTAGGTTTTTTAACAAAAATTGATATTTAATTTGTTATCTTGGGTATTTAGTAGCTTTATAATTTAAAATTTAGTTTGAAGTTAAAACGAATTTAAATTTGAACTTTTAATTATGATATATCAATTATTGATTAAATGTAAATTAAAAAATTTATGAATCTTTTTTTGTAGAATAAAAAAATTTATGAAGTTTTTTTTTGAATATTTAAATTAGTTTAAATTCAAATTAATATTTAAACTATAGAAGTATCAAATTATCCTCAAAATAACAAATTAAATATCAATTTCAGTTAAAAACTTAACGGAGGGAGATTTTTTGTTAATATTTTATTGTTCATTAGAAACAAATGTTACATTTTAAAGATCAAGGGGCAAAATGTTACAAGGGATATAATTTAGGCCCCGTTTATTTTAGCGATTCGAGTTTTGCTACAGTAAAAAGCTATTAGAAACAGTCACATCTAACTTTTTTACTAAAGTAAAAAGTTCTCACATAAAATCACATCTTAACTCGAATTAAAAACTCGAATCAGCGAACTAAACGAGCCCTCAGAAGGAATTTTATAATTATAGGCCCCATTCAATTCACGAATTTGAGTTGAGATATAATTTTATAGTAGAGCTTTTTATTATAGTAAAATTATAATTAAAAACTCAAATTAATAAAATAAACAAAATAATAATTTAAATCACCACATTTATACCCAATGAACCGAAAAAGCTCCGCCAATCCCAAAATATAACATGTAAAAATGATGAAAAAAAAAAAACCTCATTCTAATTAAAATAAGTACAAAATCAACAATATTTTTGATTAGGGGAGGAGACCAACCTGCATGGTAGTCAGATCACAGATGAGACTTACCATGTGACACTCCTACCATGTTTCACCGATCAATCTCAGTCACCACAACTACGCAGCGACTAACAAAATCAGCCATTTATTTACAAACACGTGTCCTTACCCACACAGATCTAAATAAGAGCGACCGCGGAGAAGCATAACCCCAGCGTTTCTGCACCAAAATTTCCATGTTTGAACGGTCGAAAATTCAAAATTTTGAAACGAAGCGGGCCAGTTTTTGGCTCTGCACACTCTAATAAGGCAAAGTTTAAAAACAAATAAATGAAAAAGAAATTATAAATTAAAATAAATAAAAAACAATTTAAGAAAATAATTTAATAATAATAAAAAAAATCGACAGTCCGTCGTGAGCTTTTTTTGAATTTTGAAATTGAGCTTCCAATTCCCGAAGCCGAAAGCTCCTTTTTATTTTCCTTTTCAGTGTTGTATATAAATCCGAAATGGGTCTCCCAGATTTTGACCAAAAAATCTCTCTTTCGGAGCCCCAAGTTCATTCAAATCTGTATCTGTAAGTTCTCTCTCTTTCTCAGATTTACTTTTCCTTCATTTCAGTTTTCCTTCTCGAGCATAAATTTTCAGGGTGTATTCTTTTACCCAATGTGTTTCAATCTGGGATTTTCTCAATCTACGACCAGAAATTATCTGATTTCCCATATGGGTTTTTGTTTGTGTTTTAGTTTTTTTTTTTGAGGGATTATTTCAGCTATGAATCCAGAAAAATGAGAAACTTCTTATGAATTGCCTAAGGGCAAAATGTTACATTTTTTTTATTTTTTATTTTTTCCGTTCTTCGACAAATTGTGAGCTGATTCGTCTAATGTGTGTTGTTCACATAGATTTACGTGCTTACCATTCGAAAGATCTTCAATTACGTTAATAGCGAAGACAAGATTTTGAGATGGGAACTAACAGTAGGCTTTAATAAGTATTTCCAAAGTTATTACTGCAAAAAATTGAGCTTAGATTGAACTCTTCAGTATTATTCTATTTAGCAACTGTAGAATTATATATATATATATTGCTTTTCTTGCTACAATATTAGTATATTATTCCTATGTGACAAAATGGTGGTGACCGGTTATTGATATTTGTCCTCACAGAATGAACATTTTCTTTGCTTGTTGTAATATTTCTTTTTCATGTGTTAAATTGACTGTAATGACTGCAACCCATTGAATTCTTTTCCTTAAAGAAGTAACTTACTCTTTGAATCTTGGTAATGAATGCTAACTGTTTGTTTGATGTCCTCACAGAATGGACTCACTCCCTGACGCCATTGTACAATACGTATTGTCACACATGAATAATGCCCGTGATGTAGCGGTTTGTAATTGTGTATCCAAGCGATGGAAGGACTCCATGCCTTTTATTAGGAGCCTCTACTTCCCTCGCAATTCCTTTGATAATCATGTGGGCAGTGACAACTCTGATGAAATCATCTGGAGGATGGTTTCTTCGATCGAAAAGCTAGAGGAGCTTGTTGTTTATAGCCCGTTCTCAGGTGCTGGCCTCTCTTCATGGCTGTCAATAGCAGGGTCCTCCCTCAGGCATCTTGAGCTTCGAATGGACAACCTTACTGAACAGCAAGGCTATCGTGAGATCCCCTCTAAGTTAGATTGCATTAATGCTGCTAAGAATTTGGAATCTCTAAAACTTTGGGGCGTATTGATGACCCAGTCCCCCAATTGGGATGGCTTCCAAAATCTCCAGAACCTTGAAATTGTTGGTGCAAGATTGGAGGATCCCGCGTTGTCAGTGCTGCTACATGCGTGTCCTAATTTGACCAACTTGTTGCTGCTCGGTTGTGAAGGGGTCAGATCCATTTCCATTGATTTGCCACATCTAGAGCAGTGTAAGCTTGATTTTTATGGTGTGGGTAACTGCACATTTTCTATGAATTCTCCAAAAATCAAGGTCCTTGAGGTGCAAGGTTGTAGTTGGATACGTGTTCGTGAGACTAAAAACTTGAGGAGTCTTTCTATTGCCAATAATGCAGGTAATTTAGCAGCACAAGTTAATTAGTTTGTCCTTCATAGTACTGTATGGATGGCCTTTTCTGTTATGATTCTTGGTTGTTCGTTTCGAGAAAGGTTGTCATTTTTGGTACTGGTGCTTTTCAGGGAGAGTCTACATGGTTGATTTTGTAAAGCTTGTAGCTCTCGAGTTCTTATCCATTAGAGGAGTGCAGTGGTGTTGGGACGCAATATGCAGTATGCTTCAGTGGGCGAGCGAGGTGAAGCACCTGTACATGAAAGTTGAATTCACTGGCGATTTCGAGGCACTTCAGCCCTTCCCAGAGATCGATTTAGCTGATTTCTTTAACAGCCATCCCAAGCTGCAGAAGTTTGACATCCATGGAGCCATGTTTGCAGCTCTTTGTCAGAAGAGCAGCTTGAAAAATGTGAGAAGATATGATCAACATATTATCCTTTTCTATTCCTGTTTTTACCTTATTCAAGGTTTTGGTACTTAGTGCAGTGGTTCTTCATCCATTGCAGGTTGATAAGGGGTTTGTAATTCCTTGCCTGGAGGAGGTGGTCGTCACGGTCAGATCACCGTTGAATGCTGAGCAAAAAATGAGCACACTGGAGTCCTTTCTAAAGTATGGGAAGAATCTAAAGACAATGGTAATAAAGATTCTTCAGATGAAGAGCAATCATAGCAGTGCAGATGATTTCTTTGACGAGATTTGCAGGTTTAGATACGTGAACCGTAAGATTGTTCGAATAGAATAAAGCGCTTACCTTGTGCATCTTCACTTCAATTCACATCATTTTTTCTAGTGTAATTTTCAATTCTCTAATTGTAGCTTGACTACTAATTTGGTTCATACTATGATAATTTTTTTTCCCCCAATTGAATGGATTCATTTTAATGATTATTTTTTTTTGGGTTCACATAATTTCCTTGTAGTCTTAGACTTCTTTCTTGTCTTCTAAATCTGGGTTTAATGGTATTTGCTATTTGCTATTGTCACATTGGCATAATCTGATGTGGAGTCAAATATCTTCTCTTTATTAATAAGATGTAGAGTGTAAGGATATATCATTAGAATCACCATTTATATAAATTTTTTAACTTTTAGATTTATTCAGAAAATACACCGTCTATTTTGGGTTCATCAATTGCATACTAGAATATTTAACATTTTGGGTTCATCAATTGCGTACTAGGATATTTAACATTTTGACATAGATAAAGACGAAACTGGAGATAATATATATTCATATATATATTTTTAAATGTTATTCAACACGACACACCGGATGCTCTCACTGTGTAACACGACACACCGGATACTCTCACTGTGTGGGACATGCTCATTGTGAAAAGGGTATCCAACAGCACTAAAAAATAATATTCTTGTGTGCTTGCTGAGCAACTAGAAATTCGGCTAGGTAGAATAAAAGAAAAATAAACTCTCTCCGATGAGGCCTCCTTAGTAATAAGGTCAGATCTTATTACATCTTAGTAATAAGGTCAATTTCTGACCGTTAAATCTTATTTAAAAAACACATCATAATGAAAAAATATGCATATGATGTTTAAAAATAGAAAACTACGGATATTTCATTTTTTCTAGTCTTCTAAAAAAAACTCCCAAAAATATATTAAAAAGTAGCTTTCACATAGAAAAATGCTTTTAAGACTACTAATAAAAGGTAGACACTACTAATAGCATTGTTCTTTCCCATGTAAAATCATATATGCTTATGGCGGCAATATGAATGATCAATTTTTCCATAAAAAGTTCAAAACCGATCGAGTCCATTTAGAAAAACCAGTTGAACTCCATTAGACCTGCAATATTAATTTTGTATAAGCTACAGATTTTTCTAAATGTCGTGAAATAAAAAAAAAAAAAACCTGTGAATCAAAGACGAGTCCAATGGGAAGTAACGAAAACAATGCTTTAAATTCTCAGTTCGTCGAGGAATTTAATCTTCTCTCAATTAAAGTAAAAACTGTATAAAACACATCAAAATTTCCTACAAAGAAATAAATTAAGGAAAACAAAGTCATAAGATGTCATGTTTCTTCAGTAAAGTTTACTGCAGTAGCGTATTCTAGATGAGCTTCTTCTTTTGGAAAAATCGTTGCAAGTGCCATAACTGCAGAGCCGAAACCGCAATGCAAACAGCGACAGACATCATACCAAACCACGCCACCCTCGCATTTGTTTTTTCACTCACATCCCTCATCTCTGCTTCTCTGTGGAGTGGCATCCAAAACAAAACAAGACAAACAATTAAATTGATTGAATTTAAGGCTTAATTGCAATAATGCGCCTTGAACTTATCGGTGTTTGGGAACTTGGACCCCACCCCCAAACTTTTAATTTTGGCTAATGTGACCCTAAATTGGAAATATGCAGAATTGTGATCCAACAGCTAACAAGCGTCAAGGATGAAAATGCCCCAAGACTCTAACACAAATGCACCTAAACTTTTCGTTTGTTGACAAGTTGGACCCTAATTTTTTAAAATTTTGGCATTTTGGACCCTGATTGTATTAACTTCTGTTATCGATCGGACTGCATTGTCAAGAATAGTTCAATTTAGTATCCCAAACGCCAAAACTAAAAGTCTGCGGTCCGACTGACAAATGATGAAAAATTTATGGTGCATGGGAGCAATTTGCCTTGAATTTGAACAAGACTGAAAATTTTCTTGCAATCTAACCAGGTCTATAATATATTTACCTGCTCTTGAGGTATAGTAGATTCTCATGGATGGCTTCAACTGCTCCTTCAAGCTTCCTCAGCTCCAGTTCAATGCCCTATGCAAGAAGATATGTAGGAATTATGAAATTATACAATAGTTGTACTGTTATAGGTGATTGAAAGATCGGATTGTCTAGTATCTATTATAATATATCTCAAGTTAGCAGCTGGTATTGCTAACTTATGCCCATTCCAACTTGTCAACTTGTTCAATCCATAGAATTTGAAATCCTTGCCACATCCAAAAGTACATATGTATACATATGCATATACCAAAAGAAGAAAAATCGAAACAAAATAAAATGTAAACAAAAAAGTCATTATTCGAGGTTTGGATCCTTCTATGAGAATTTTACTCACCTTAGCAAATACTCTCTCTCCAATTATGATGACAAGTCAAACTTGTCACCATTATTCATTTCTCATGGTTTTGATAACTTTAGATAAAGAAAGTACTTACTGAAATATGCCTATTTATTTCTCATCAAAACTTGACTGGGATTTTAAAAGATTCGTGACTTCAATCCTTATAACTAACGCACTTGATTGACATCCCGGTGGGGTAATATAAAGTCCAAACTGTGCACCTCATAAGTTCGTTAGAATACATACAAGCAGCATGCCAAGTTGAGGGTGAATGTATAGGCTATTAAAAAAGAAAAAGAAAAAGAAAAGGCATTACAGATATACAAGTCTGAAAATTCTCACCTCAATCTTCTCTTTCCTCGCCACTGATTCCCAATCCTTGGCTGCAATTCCTGTTTTCCAGTCAAGGTTAACACTTACATCTCCACCTCCACTATTAGAACCATCTACCCAAAAACATGCCAAATAGTTTCCAGCTTCATGCGTTGTGAATGCAAACTGACCATGAGTTGCATTCTCCCCATGGTGAAGATTGTTCCCATATGGAGATGTAACCTGGAAGACAACACAACTACAGATTTGTAAACAGATACATGCTTAACTAAAAGAGAACTCCTCTAAATGAAATGCATTATCTTTTCGTGACAATTCAACTTGCTATTTTCTTCTTCTTTTTTTTTTTTTTTTTTTCTTGAGAAATCAAAAGAAAAAAGAGAAGGAAAAGAGATCTCCCAAACCTTGACAAACACACACAGAGTTTAACTAAAGTCACTGTGGTTCCTAAACAAATTTCAGATTTACTGAATCTGACAGACCTGCAAACAACACAACTTGTCCTAATTAACCTCGGGCATTTTACGGCCCGTTTAATTTAACAGTTCAAAACCCACTGGTTCTGGTTCAAACAATGTTTTCTCTCACAAAAAATTTGAATTTGAAAAGTTCTGCTACAGTGTTTTCTCTCACAAAATTTGAACTTCGATTCAAACCACTGTTTTGAACCCATCCTCCAAACTGGCACTTAATTGTTGGTGATGATATCATTCAAATTTCCAAAGAAACTAGTAGGGAATTGGGATCCTCATAGTTGCACAGCTGAGAAAGCCTCACTACATAGGCCCGGTTCACAATCAAAAGTCAAAAATGGAAACATAACAAAAATAATACAATTAAAGAAAAAATACAAGCACACACGGGCACACATGCACACACAGATCACACTAGAAAAGAGCATTGATTGGTGCAAGGTATATAAAACTCTACTGTGGGCACACTAGAAAAGAGCATTGATTGGTGCAAGGTATATAAAACTCTACTGTACAGTGTACACATCTTAAATTGTGCTAGAAAAGAGCATTGATTGGTGCAAGAATTCATAATTTCTCATAGCTAATTGAAATATGGAACTTTTCACAAGACTTCTTTTTTCTCCATACAATCCATTGAGAGTAACATCCTGATCCTCCGCTATCTGTTGAAGATGGATCGTCAAAAATCCTAATCACTTCTTGTCTTTTTATTCTTGGACTTCCTCTACCTCTATCTCTATTGTTTGATTATTCTAATAAATATCTCGCTCTTCATACTAATGCGTCTGTATCTCAACATCATATTCATACAAGTATTAACCATTTTAATTTTCAGTTGTCTCAATTGAGCCACAACTACCTCAGAACAAATATCTTTGTTTTTCACCTTATCCTATCTTGTGTTACCACCCGCCAATGTAAAAAATAAGCATAACCAACTTTCACTATATTCCCGACCAGTGGATTGATTTTGCATCCCCAAATAGTTTATAAGTATATTGGTAAAAATCGGAATAACGAGGTCAAGGCATGCAGGACACTATTCCTAAGAATAGATACTACCCATCTCAAACAATGCTCAGCTCTACAACTATATATACTTTGAACCTATACTCAGAGTAGAACAAAGAATTGAGGATAAAACAAAATTGAACATATTTCTTTGCTTTTTTTTTTCCCCATATTTCCCTTTAATCTTCTAAAAGGTGGACCTATAAGTTTAACTAATCTATTCTATGTAAAAGGCAAACCATGCTTCTACCACGATGTTTATATTACTTAGGCTATCTACAGATAATGAAATGCGAATGTTTCAAACTGGTTGAATTTCAAATTCCTAAGAATTCATAGAACAAACTACAAGAGTTATGATTCAAACCTGCGAACATACGGGTTTGCTAAGAAATTCATGGAACAAATTACAATTCTTCAGCTTAGAAATTTCTCATTGGTTCCTCAGGTATCAGAATTCAAAGAAAAAAGAAAACAACGGAAAATCAAAATTCAATAAAAAAAAATGACAATTTTACGAAGGAAAAAGCAAAAATAGCTGGAAAATTCGCTTGTTCTGGAGGGCATGCAAGACAGAAAATGAGAAATTCATATTTCAAAATCCATTTTTTTTTTCAATTGCTTTAATTTCTTTATCAATCAATAACATAATTCC